GGAATTCTGCCCTAGCTTAGTGAATGTGGTGAAAATTCACTGTGCAATGAATGCCCAATCACTAGCAAGTGAAATAAAGAAAAAAAAGCATTTTTTTGCTTACACTTTTGGATGATGGAAGTCAGCAGAGCTTCACTGCATTCACTAAATTAAGCTAAGGGGAAAATTCCCCTGCAAAGTGCAAACTCCTTTGCAAAGTGAACAGCCTATTTGCTTTTAGTAAACCAACCTCCACAGTGTAAGGACACATTTACAAAACCAGGGGCACAAATGGATCAACTACCCATAGCAACCTTGCTGCATATACAGTGAGGATTGTTTGGCTACTTTAAACAACTGCACTGTTTTAGCTTCCACTTTCTTTGCTCCAGCATGCACTATTTTTTGTGATCGCACTGCATTGGAACGCAGGGCATTGCTGTACCACGTGTTCTGTTCAGGCGATTGCACTGAGGGCGTGTCTGCGCTGCCATTGACATGAACACAGGATGCTTGGTTTATGCGATCCAATGCGTTCAGGGCACGGAACCATACTGGATAGTGTGTGAACGGGCCCTTAAAAAACAGCACCACTGTACCACCAGTGTAATTGAATGGTGCAGACAACACATTTCAGTTTAAGTTTAAGGGCTTCAGCTTATTATACGAGCAAGCTTTTGTGACGCTTTACAAAGCATTTGTGAAGTGTTTGACAGGCTTCAAGCAGTTTTGTTGTAGGATTTTAAGGAGTCTTTAGTTCCTAGCAGGTTTCACCAGACGTTTAGCAAGCTTCAGGCACTGTTGAGGCTTAAATATCTCTTTTTCAATGTAATATCCTTTAAATAGCTTTTTCTGACACTTTTTATGAGCAGCATCCAGAAACATTGGTGAGATGAAGCTTCTGCTGATGTATACTGTCCTCGGTTAAGGCACCTATTGATGGAAACATGGGGAGGAGGAGCAGAGATGTCAGTCTGTAGTCGGTGCACAACACTTCTTCCAGGGTGACAATGTAGGGAGGTTGGCACAATCACCGGTTTGGCTGACAATCCTCCAGTATTTTGTGCAGCCATCTTGCTGAGTTGTCAGCTGTCAGAATGAAATTACATCATACCTGCAACACTGGTATTATCACCAGGTGTGTCACCATATTATAAAAGGGCAGATTTTTTTATGACAGAAGCAGACCTATTGTAGATTATTCAAATGTCCATATATATATATATA